TGAAGCGAAATTGAATTAAAAGTCAGAGATGTAAACTGAACAAATTTTGATTTTTTTAAAGGTTTGTTCATTTTACAACAAAACAATTTTTATATGTTATATTTTAATATATCTACTACTGGCATGAAAAGTAAAATTGATGTGTCTTCTTACAAACACTCGAGTCTTTTACAATTATATAAAAACACTGATAAATTGAAGAAGCAAGTTTTAAAAATTCAATTAAAATAATTCCCAATACTCTAGAAAGTTGAAATTTTAATATATTATACTTCTATATATCTATTATAAAAACAAATAGTAAAATTGTTACAGCTTCTCACAACAGATTTTTAATTACATACAAAATGCACATGAACGACGCAGAAATAAAACTGATAAATGAGAAAGTAAAGTTTAAAAAATTAATTAAAATAATTCTCAATGCTCTAGAATATCAAAATTTTAATATATTATACTTCTATATGTCTACTACATAGACAAATTCTAAAATTGATAGGTTTTCTCAAAAATGCTCTAGATATTTACAGTTTTATAAAATAAACCCATACGACAATAATAAAATGAGAGAGAAAAGTTTTAAAAATTTGTTAAAATAATTCTGATTACTTTAGAACATTGAAATTCTAATATATGATACTTGTATAAGTCTACTAAAAAGACAAATACTAAAATTGATATAGTTTCTCACAAATATATCAGATATTTACAATTATATGAGTGGAGTGCATTAACATTAGAAACGTAAATGTTTCATGATGTTGCAATTATTTTACATAATGATGTTTGAGTCTATAAACATTAAACTTTGCTTAAATATCTCTATTAAATAATTATATCATATTGATTATATTATTTCCATTAAAACAATCAGTAATAGCGCTCGATACGTTTCGATTGTTCTTGTTGTCACTTCGTTAGTGAAGTAATTTGAGCGACTGTATTGTGTTATTATTTTTCCGAGAGGTTAAATTACCGTTGAATATATTATGCACAGACATAAATAAATATCTAAATACAAATATATTCATATTACTCGTGTGATAAATTGTTGTTCTGTGTACTTTACTTTCACTAATGTAATTCCGTGTGGCATTTTCATGCAGGCCGCCAAGTGCATTTTAAAACTGAACCACTAGAGGAAAAGATATCCATACATTTCTCAGGAAAATTTAAGTTTTAAATTATTGAGACGTTATTAAGACAAGTTTAGTATTTTTTTATCCGTCAAGACATGACGAACGTCAGTCGATGTTGCAACTGAATCGAAAATTGATTGATTTTCGATTAACCAATAAATATATTTAATGTGCAACTCGTCGACATCGACACGGTGATATAAACACATTTATGGATTGATCGATAGATCGATAGATCGGTGGATATATATATATATATATACATATATAAATTTATTTATATGGAATCAATTTGAAATGACACAACTTTTGAGCTTTAACGAGTTTGACTACTTCACTGACGATTAAATTAAAAGTGACATTAACGAAATTAGTTGACGCTCCGTGACAACTTTTACACAATTATTATGCAATTATTACATGAATAGACACACATATATTTATATATGTACTGGCTGACCCGGCAAACGTTATTATGCTATTTTAAAAAAATAAGAACTTTTGAAGTTTACATTTTTGACGCTGCTCTACTCTGCTCATAGAATCGTAAATAACTCGAATATTTGTTATTAACTATATCAATTATAGTATTTCTTTTTATAGTAGACATATTAAAGTATAATATATCAGAAATTCAACATTCTATATTAATGAGAAATGTTTTAATAAATTTTTAAAACTTTTTGTTTCCTCCTCAATTCATCAGTTGTATATCTAGTCGTATGTGCACTTTCTTAATATAACTGGAAATATCTTTGATATTTGTGAAAAACTATATCAATTTTAGTATTTCTTTTTATAGTAGACATATTAAAGTATAATATATCAGAAATTCAACATTCTAGAATAATGAAAAAAATATTAATAAAATTTTATAAGGTTGATTTCTAAATTTATCAGTTGTAAACCCAGTCATACGTGTAATTTTTATATATTTGTAAATATCTGGAATATTTGTGAGAAGACTCATTAATTTTAGTATTTGTTTATGTAATTGACATATAGAAGTATAATATACTGGAATTTCAACATTCTAGAGTAATGAGAATTATTTTTAAAAAAATTTAAAGTTTGCTCCCTCATTTTGTCAGTTTTTTATCTGTGTCGTACGTGCACTTTTTACATAATTGTATTTGTGAGAAACTATAACAATTTTAGTATTTGTTTTTATAATAGACATACAGAAGTAATATATGTGAGTTTCAGCAATCTAAGGCAATGAGAAGTATTTTAATATTTTTTTACAATTTTGCATCTTTATGTATCAGTTTAATTCTGTGACGTCAGTACACTTTTTATAAAATTATAAATATCTGGAATATTTGTGAGAAACTATATCAATTGTAGTATTTGTCGTTATAATACAAATATTCAAGTATAGCATATAGAACGATACTCACATATGTTTTTACCAATTTTAGTGTCGCTAAATTATGAAATCTTAAACAACAAATGGAATTTTACTTATGTTATTTCCATAAAAAACTTTGATTGGAGTGCGGACTATCTTCAAGTTAATATGAAGAGCTAAAACTTCGAGAAAATTTTTTTTATCAATTTGGGAGCATTTGAGCCCCTGGGAGCAAGAATTTAAAAATGTCCATATTAAGGACCACCCTAATATATATATATATATATATATATATATATATATATATATATACGTGGTCTGTTCAAAAAGTACCCGGAATTTTCGTATATAAATATAAAATATTTATTTATTCGTCTACATTAATGTGGTCCCCTTCAAAGTAGTCCCCCCCAGATATAATACACTTATGCCAGCGTTTTTTCCAATTTTCGAAGCACCCTTGATATTCACTTTTTGATATGTCCTTGAGCACTCTCAGCGATTTCCTTCAATCGAGGAAAACCGCCGTCCTTTCATGGGTCTCTTCAACTTTGGGAATAGGAAAAAGTCACACGGAGCCATATCTGGTGAATTTTTGCACTTTGCAACACTTTATTTCATTTTTTACGCAAAATTTAATACAAATTCTTTGACTTTTCAATTCTTCCATTGTAAAAATCGCCGAGCTCAGAAAAACACGTCGAACCTTAGCGACTACCACAGACAAAGTAAACAGTGAATATAGCTGAAAATTTCATCATACTTTAGGGGCATGTATACCAACACAATAAAAAAAAATTTTGACAATCAGACACTCCAGACCCGCGAAATTTAATTATTAGTAATTCCGGGTACTTTTTGAACAGACCACGTATATATAATTTATTTCTCTAAGCAGACATATTAATCTTTAACTGTAAACTACCACCTATAACCAGTTAATTTCCGTACCTCGCTGTGCCACTCATTTTAAACCTAACCTCCACATACATAGTATATTCTCCATCTCCGTCTCTGTTAATAATAATATTAATAATAATAATATTGTAACTGTGTCAAATCATAAAATCACAATAGGAATCCTAGCCATAAGAAGAAGAAGCACTCTGCTCTGGCTACATAAAATCAAATGAAGCCTTTATTAATCTTAATAAATCAAACGCGGACACATATCATCATCATATAATACATCTTTCAAATCTCGCACAGACAATTGACGGCGACGGTTTTATTGAACAGACAAACAATCATACACCGACATTTTCTTACTTGTTTAGAAATCGTTTTTACTCGAATAAAATGATTCATTTTCCTCTCTGCCAAGGTATGAGTCACCGGGTAAATATTGGTTCAGGAAGAATATTCTGCAGATACGAATGAGATAATAATTAGTGGTATAGATCGCAAAGATGGTATGAATCATCGTGGTAATTTATCTTATGATGCAGGATTAGGTCGAAACTGGTCGTTTTTATATTTACCTAGGAAACGTCACACATTAATCACAAAAATCACAGAATATATCACGTCTAGTAAGATATCACGTGTATTTATTTTTTAAAAAAAAAATCCAAACATTTTCAAAAAAAATGAAGGGGCGGGGGATATTTTGAATATCCCCCCGAATCACCAAGAGGTTTAAAAATCCTTAAAAAATCGATCACGTGATTAATGGACGCTCCCTAAGCATTAGATAAAAGATACTTAAGTGCAAGTTAATAATATGTCTGTTCAAAACCTTTTGTTGCTAAATTATAAATTTGTTCATTTTAAAAGTATTTACGAATTTTAACTATTTAAATTGACAGGATCATCATTATTATATGTCTTCTCTGTTTAATCTTTTGATGTTTAAGAATTTCAAAATTCCTTATATTGTTTATTATTTTTCTAAAACGAATTTCCGCTCTCAGAAATTGTTCTGTTCGCGTTTTGTTTATACGAATTCTTGTTTCTTAAACAAAATTTCATAAACATCATCGAAGACGACATGGAGTGCTGATGTATTTTGCATCGAAAATAAATAAAATGGAATCGAATGTTGATATTTCTCAAGAATTCAGTAAATGAGATACTGAAGGATGCTATTTTCTCAGATATTGATTCAATTGGTGAATTTGCCAAGGAAAATAAACTTAATGTATCGCAAATGTGTATTAACTGTTTTATATCTGGAATGAAAAAATGACTGATAAAAGTCTGAAAGATTTTCTTTTCTAGAAAAAATGAATTTTATTTTAGACCAACAAATTTAATACACATTTGTGATGCTTTAATAATTGCGATTTTACCCCATACAATATATTATCAATTTTTATTTTCTACTGATTGAAGACTAGGATGTTAGCCAGAACGCATAAATGTTAAATAAACTTATAAAAAATGCATACAATTTTTATTGATGTAAACCCCAACTTTTCCAAAAATATGTATATATATTTATTAATTGTTTAATAATTTTTACAATAACGTTGAATTTTTTTTACAGATAAACTCGGTTATCCATTTGGACCATTACACAAAAGACTGAATTCCTAAACAGGCTGACTGGCGAAGTTGGCTTGACTATAGAATTGATTTTGGACTAATCAGGTACAAAATATTAAATAATTTATCAACTAATAATAATATATGACATTCTGTATAATAAACTCAAATGAAACGTCGATGTTGTCTTAGCCATGTATTATTAACAACTATATTTTACATAATAATAAATAATAAAATTAAAAGCTCAAAATGGCGGGTCAAAAGTGCCCTACCAGATTTTGGTTATTTGTAAACTATTTTATCCACACTCATTAAAATAGCTACTATATACTTGGTTCAAAAAGCACAAATTTTGGTAAACTATATTGAAAGCCATAAAAAGTGAGAAAAATTGTGTTGAATATAGTGAGAAAAGCTAGAATTTGTCGGATTCAGCAGATTATCCAAAAATGGAACACATTCCTCAAGGAACGTTTTAGGTATTTATTATCAAAAGCATAGATTTTAAGAAAATCGTATTGGTAGGAAAACAGTTATAAATCGTTGTACATCCCTTACTGGACAGACTCTCCAAAAGTGCATCATCTCCTCGAGTCAACTTTCAGGATGCACATATAAGTCTCCAACCAGAAACCATCTCATCATCCAACATCTTTCATTCCCAACCTGTCAACAATCTAAAACTTTTCCAAAATCTCTTTCGATCAAATGTCAATTTGATTATTTTCATTCATCACTCGGCGCCTTCTAAGTCGTCTCGAATTAGAAATCGAAAGCGGCAGCCAAATACTAAATACCAAATACAAAATACCAGAGACAACCGACATCGGCCAACAAATGGTACATGGCCAGAGTAATATCTGTATATCACGCACGTCGGAAAAAAATTATTGAGACTTTTTATTCCTCGTAGAAAATTAAATTTTGCAACATTTGAAATTTTCGATTCAAAAGACCAATGAATGAGTCGGCTGATCGGGAACGAGAACGTGCCTTTGTATGATTTCTTGTGGTACGTGCCGTTACGCTGTTACGGAATAATAATTATGTTAAGAAAAGATATTGGGACATAGAAATTGATCAGAAAATAATAAATACACAACAAAACTCCAGGACAACTTTCTTCATTATTACAAAATCAATGTACCATTCTTCCTCCTCCTTCTGCTGTGTCGATTAGTGAATGAATGATGAATAATTATGAAAACACGAATAAAAAATTAAATGGCTATTTCACAGATTTTTAATGACAATTTGTGTAATTTGCGTGGATCGTGAGAACCATATTTGGAATATACATCTATGAACTTAAACGTGGATTTGTAAAAAAGAATTAATATGCGTAGAGGCGTGGGATGTCCCATTCATGGTGCTTATGGACAGTCGAGACATAAATACATAAATTTGTAAAAGATATACATATATACATACACACATATAAAAATACACACATATATCTATATACATATAAATAAACATTGTTTGAATAATATTATTTAGATAGAGTAAGTGGTGATCTTACAATTAGCCCAGATTTAGCACATGTTGGAATAATAATCGAGTTTAAACTGAATTCATTCAAAATTTTCACATCGGAGCTTATAAGGCATTTCATATGGAATTATAGTACATTTTATCTAGTTTCTAACTAATTAAAAAAAAGTGGCCGGAACAAATTTATCGAGTTATTTTGAAAAATGTAAGAAAATGTCCTGAATCCATGTATTGTAAGTCTTCAGAATATACAGGGCGAGTTCAAATTATTCAATTTTTTGTGGAAGTGTGTGGAAAATATTTCATATGGAATTGTAGTAAATTTCATCTAGATTCTGTTAAGAAAACTAAAAAAAAGTGGCTGGAACTAAGTTTTTGATATATTTTAAGAAATGTAGAAAAATATCTCGAATCCATATACTGTCATAATATGCAGGGTGAATTCAAATTATTCAAAATTTTCGTATTGGTATGTATAAGACATTTTATATAAGATTTTAGTAAATTTTATCTATTTTCTGCGAAGAAAGCTAAAAAAGAGTGGTTGAAACTAATTTTTTGAGATATTTAAAGAAATGTAGAAGAAAATCCCGAATTCATATACTGTAAGTCCTCATAATATACAGAGCAAATTCAAATTATTGTTTTTTTTCTATAGGTGTGTATAAGACGTTTTATATAAAATTTTAGTAAATTTTATATAGTTTCTGTTAAGCTAACTGAAAAAGAGTACCCGGAACAAAATGTTCGAGTTATAAGAAGAATTGTAAAAAAATGTCCGAAACTAAGTTTTCATGTTATTCAAAATTACACATGAAACTGTAGTAAATTTTAGATAGTTTCTGCTAAGCTTTTGGAAAATTTAAAGAAATATAAAAAATCGATTTAATTAAAGAAATGTAAAAAAATGTCCTGAATCCATTTACACAATATATAAGACCGAGTCAAACTAGTTTAATTCATATGTAATTGTAGTGGATTTCCAGTTTCCAATTTGTACCAAACTAAGCAAAAAAGAGTGTTCGTAACACAGTTTTTGGGAAATTTAAAGAAATGTAAAAAATATTCCAAATCCATATATTGCAAATTTGCACAAATTGTATCAATTCATGTATATATTAATTCATAAATTCAATAATATATTAATACATAAATTTACAAATCTGACTATTGTAGCTTTTGAATGTGATCCAAACGAATAATAAATTATAAATTGATCATTGTATTATTTATATCTATTTAAGAAATTAAATTATAAATTTTCGTAAACAAACTTCCTTTAAATTTGAATTTTGCGCCTTGAACTTTAAGATGCTTTGAATAAGTATGACGTGAACTTGCCTTTAATTTTCAGCTGTCACTTTGAACTTGTAAAAAATATTTTAATATTTTGTAATTTTATTATTTGTCGTTGGATAATGATAAAACGTAAAATATTTTTTTTAATCTATATATGCAAATTATAAATTTACATTTAATCTATTTAAAGATTTAAAATACAATTTTTCTTAAATATATTTTGTTTAAATTTGAATTTCGCGCCTTCGACTTCAATATGCTTTAAGTCCAACCTGAACTTGCATTTTATGACATTCATCAACTGTCAACTGTCACTTATTTCAATGTCAATTACTAAAAAATATATTAATAATTTGTAATTTTATTATTTGTCGTTAGATAAAAATACTTTACATATATTTTTTATAAATCTATATCTGTGTAAATACATAAATGAATATTATATGTCCATTTATGAATGAAACCCACGCATTGCCTCTCATGCTTCGAGACACGATTTTGTAAATTTACAAACAAAGACCATAAATGGAAGGCTGTCTCTTGTGTCTTGTAAGATCTATTGACTTAATTTCAAGATTTACATATTCCATGTCGAGTAGACAAATAGGCACACACTCTTGTCGAGATATTATATATTTGGTAAAGGAAACTTGTGGTAATTGAAATACACACAATTTTGATGGATTAATCCTTATTGGTAAAATAAAAATGCTTTCTTTAAAATTACTCAGTTTATGTTAAATGTTACTTGTTTCACGGTTCAGCAAGAAGAGAATTATTTTACATAGTTTTAACATAAACATAAATATAAGATGGCGGATACCTAGTTGAGTAGGGGGACACTATTGCCAACATCATTAATAGTAACGGCGGGATATTTGAATTACAATATATAACATTACACAAAAATGTGTCAAACAATTTTGTCCACTTATTACAGTACATTTTCCTCCTAACGCCCTTAGTCAAATAATTAGTATAATAAAATTTAATAAAGTAGCAAAGAAGACTTATAATTAGTTAAGCAGACTATTTCCGTCGACAAGTTATATAAATTACTATAATTAATTAATCATGTGCATGTGTGTACGTGTATTTTATATATGTACATATTTCAATTTTTTATCCGAATAATAAATTAAGGAAATAATTAATAGTTCTTCATCCGAGTTTCATTCTTATGTCATGTTGTTCTACGAGTAATTATCTTTTCTATTGTAAAAAATCACGGGCGATTGCCCAAATGCTTCCAACTTAATGGGGCCCCCCGAATGCTAAAAAAGAGAATTAACTGCCGGCCGTAGTAATGGATTATTTCATAAAATCCATTACTTATTGCTTTGATATTTCGTAATTTTTGTAAATGAAATATTAAATAGTTGTAATAATCTTTTGATGGCTTTTGAAATGTTTGCCAATAAAAAGTGGCTCGATATTAAGGAGATTTTGTAATGGTAATTTGTAAAGGAATTAATAATGATTATATATAGTATTTTATTACATATTTAATATTAAAATATAGAAAGTCAGATATTGATACAAAGTAATATTTGATAGTAAAAATTTGTTTATGAATCATGTACAATTATTTTTCCTAATTGATAGGTCTTTGTATATAACATACATATATGGGGCCAATTTTATTTGTTTTTTTCATTTAAAATAATTACCTGAATAAGTTTTTTACTTAATTGCTTCTATATGGAAAAAACTAACAGAAAATTCTGAAAAAACATATTTTTACTTATTTATACTAGCTGGCCCTAATAAACATTAGGGATACGTTAATCTTCACAAAAATAAATTCTTTTTCTGAATTTTTTTTATAAAAAAAAAGTTCTACAACAATGTTATTTAAATGTCATTTTTATTTATTTCATTTTTTTTATTCATATTTCAATTCTCTCATCATCCTCTGGGTGTAAAATCTGGTTTCCCGAATATGCAAAAATCGCGTTGCATTGCGCAATATAAAGCGCTTAGATAATCATCTTAGAGTTATTAATAGTCGTCTTAACAACAACAACTTATCTTAAAGTCATCTCTGAACAAATCCAGTTTTGTAAATAAAAAAAAAACTTTATTTAGAATTGTCATTAGATCAAGTAGTCGGTCGTAGTCGTAGTAGACGCTTCTGATTCTTGAAAGCGTCGTCTATAATGCCAACTGGACGAAGTTGCTCGATAAATAATAATATATACATATATGCATACATACATATATATATATATATATATATATATACACTGGTGTGCCCATATATATTTCAAATCTTGAGGCTTTCGAGATTATATTCAAACAGGTTTTCG